AGTTCAGGTATGTCTCAGGATGAAATGCGCGCGACATGTATACTAACTCGCAGCGCAGCGTTCAGAAGCAGGACAACCACATCATCCAGGCGATCGCAACGCTCGACCAGATCGACAAGGATCTCAACACCTTCTGCATGAGGCTGAGGGAGAACTATGGTATTTTCCTCCATGTCTGAAGACTTGGAACAGCTGCTAATCTGGTACTTCTTCAGGCTGGCACTTCCCCGAGCTCGCCAAGATTGTCAACAGCAACGAACAATATGCCAAGGTCGTCTTGCAGATTGGCGACAAGTCGCGCTTGAGCGATGAGGATCTCCATGAGCTCGCTGCTGTCGTCGATGACGACGAGAGTGTTGCGCAAGCAATCATCAACGCTGCGAGAACCTCCATGGGTCGCGATCTGTCTGCAGCTGACATGGAGATTGTTATGGCTTTCGCAAAGAGAACTGCTTCTCTAGCTGCCTACCGCAAGCAGCTCAGCAACTACCTTGGAAGCCGCATGAACCAGGTTGCTCCTAACCTGGCTGCCCTGATCGGTGACACCGTCGGTGCGCGTCTTATCTCCAAGGCTGGTTCTTTGACCAACCTTTCGAAATACCCTGCCAGTACCGTTCAGATTCTCGGTGCCGAGAAGGCTCTTTTCAGAGCTCTCAAGACCAAGGGAAACACCCCCAAGTACGGTCTGATCTACCACAGTTCGTTCATCGGCCGCACTGGTCAAAAGTCAAAGGGAAGGATCTCGCGTTTCCTTGCCAACAAGTGCTCCATCGCCTCCAGAATCGACAACTTCTCTGAAACTCCAACATCCAAGTTCGGTGAAGCTCTCAAGCGCCAGGTCGATGAGCGCATTGAATTTTACGCATCCGGTGCCCCTCCTGCTAAGAACGCGGCGGTCATGCAAGCTGCCATGAACTCGGTTCTGGCTGACATTGGCATTGAAGACCCCACCGCAACTGCTACCGAGGATGTTGAGATGGCTGATGGTGTTACCGCAGCTGCCACTGAGCAGGCTGTGCGCAAGGAGAAGAAGGACAAGAAGAAGTCCAAGAAGTCGGGTGACGACGAGGTTTCCGAGAAGAAGTCCAAGAAGGAGAAGAAGCGAAAGGCCGGGGACGAGGAGGATGGCGAAAAGAAGAAGAAGAAGAAGAGCAAGGCGTGATGATCTGCCCTTGCGCAGCTGTACTCATACCCTTCGCGCATTCTGTATCGGCGTTTTATGATGTGTCGGTGTTTCTGGAGTTGATTTCTGTACTAGTGGAGAGGATTGGATCTGGGCTATGAGTCTCCACACGCCGTTCACGAATGGTGGACGGCTCTGTATATCTCGAGCTGTCATGAAAGTTACAAAAGCATGATTCTTCTATATTTTGAGCCTAACGTGATGCCGGCAGCGTTCGCGTATCTAGAGCCGACCAGGGTGAGGCGTTCCTGAGAGGCCGACCTATGAGGGACCCCTGCAAGAGATCGGCACATCAGCCACACGCAACCGAACTGCAGGACAGCCGTGTAGAACGACTATCTATAGAATACTACATCGTGAACGACGGCATGAGCTGCAAATGTTTGCGCACCACTGCCAGAGAGCAGAAGTCGTCCCCAATAGACGCAGGTGCTCTTTGTGGCGATGCGCAGATACGCAGGGCAATCAACGTCAGGCAGCGGCTAGTGCGCCTCTTTGTACGTCGCATGTTCACGGTGCAATGGAAGAGATGGACCACGATTTGTTTGCTTGTTACGAGGAGAAGAGAGGCAACTCGGCATCGCAGCAGCGTCGACGCAGGACGGTGCGGCAAAGGGGTTGTTGCTGCACGTACAGGCCGTGGCGGCGCCCATGGAAGTGTCAATATGTCATGTTTGATACGCCTCAGACCCGACACAGCAGCCGGCATAGACCCAGGGTTCATTCACAGTGGGCAGCCCCGGACTCGTCGCTGCTCTGGCGTAAACTGTTTTTCTGTTCTAGGGCTCGTCGTAACCCAAGCTTTGGCCCGCTGCTGTCCCAAATCGCTCGAATGCCTACTTGAAGCCCTGAACCCCCCGAGCACGACGGAGGCCGTCTTTCGCACTTTCTCTTCCTCTATTGTTCTCTCTCTTTCCTGTACAATTTTCTAACGCTGCAACTACCTTTCCATCGACACAGCTCTTGCGGCGGCGGCTGCCATCAAACTCTCGTTAGGGATCGAAACTTGGTGTTCCTTGCCGTGCATCAGACGCTCTTTAGACATCTCCCGCGCCGGCTCTCGGCTGCACCTCGACTTTGGTGTTCTCGCAAGCCATTGCAGTAGTCTGCTATCCACGCTTTTTCTGGTGTTGAGTCTACACACGCGCTCAGCCAGCACCAGCGCCCTGAATCTGCCTGCGCGCCTCCGCTGCTCACATCGGGAAATTATCTCGACCTTTTCTGTTGTCGTCTGCACTAGAAGCGCCCCGGTGCTCTTCTGGGGATTGTATCGACCTAGTGTTCGGCGCCATGGCCGACGATGCATCTTCGCCGGGCAGTCTAAGCTCGCCCCCGCACTCGCCTGAGGGCACTCCGACAGCAACTGTCCGCGCAGCTGCAGGTGGTGTTGGTGTTGGAACTAGCACGCCAACCCCTGCAAATGCATCGCCAGCTCCACGCGGCCTTACTGCGAACGGCCAGCCACGCAAGAAGCCAGGTCCGAAACCAAAGGCCAAAGACCCAAGTGCACCAGAGCCAGAAAAGAAGACAAGAAAGCCCCGTAAGTCGGAGCCCAAGGACCCAAATGCCGCGCCTGCGCCACGGAAGAGGAGGACAAAGGCATCGCTCGAGGCGCAGGCACAGCCAGCCGCACAGGTCGTCGACGAGAAACCGCCTGTGCAGCTATCACCCATACCACAGACTGGGCCCAGTGAATCCGTCCCTGCTTTGCAAGCCGAGCAGCCGCCTGCAGTCGCGCAGCCAACCCGTGTGTTGAGCAATCCCGAGCCGACTCTTCACAGTAACCCAAATCTCTCCCATATCAGCGTTGCGCCATCCACACCACGGCCATCTAGTTCAGGCCAAAGATATGATCCTATCCGGGGCGACACGTTTGAGTCAAAACCGCAGCCTCCAGCAAGCGCCCCTCCGCCGCCTGTTTCACCCCCGATCAACCACCGTGCGAGTGCGTCACCTTCCATCACAAGTCTCATTGACCCGCCGTCTGCCAGCAACTCCTTCTATTCACATCCTGCCAAGCTTCAGCAACAGGCATCAATCACATCCGCACCCGTGTCACCTGCCGCCTTCTCCACGCGACCAGCGTCGGTCCTTCCTTCTCAAGACTACTCACCTCAACTCCAACAACAGCAACCGCAAACATCTCTTCAGAACCAGCCTCAGCCGTATCCCGCTGCATCATCAGGCCCAACTCCCATGGACATTGACACCGAGCCCAGTAAGCCAGCATCCGTCCCAATGGCAAAAGAAAATTCCACAAACTCCGGTACCCTCTCACAATCCAATGCTCCCACTCCACCCGCCAAAACCGTCCGCCAGAAAGAGGCCCCACCACCGCTGCCTTCCGGTAGCGGCCTCCTGTCAGGAACGCCATTCGGTCCTGTTGCCAACGCCAACGGCACTTCTGAGACCCAAGGCACTAACATCTACCTCACTTTCGACTTGAAGGGACGCGAAAACGTCACCATTAACTTCGCGCAAGAAGTCGAGAGGAAGTACGGCTTTGCTGCTCTACATCCTCGCATTGCCGCACGGAAAGAGCGCCAGCGTCAGATTACCGCAGCAGGTGCAGCACTGGAGCGGGCTGCAGGTGGGGGCTCAAACGACGATCAGTCTGTTGACTTATCGGAAAACGAAAGCAATGTCGAGATGGGCGGCATGGACGATGAGACATCGGCCAAGGAGAACGGAGGCAAGAAGCGACGCAAGCGCAAGCAAGAAGATTACGACAAGGAGGACGACTTCATCGATGATACTGAGCTGGCTTGGGAACAGCAAGCGCTCATGGCGAAAGACGGTTTCTTTGTCTACAGCGGCCCACTCGTCACCGAGGAGAAGCCAACTGTGGAGAGGTACGTAACCACCACAACTTCAGACCAGAATAAGCTAACACTGAGTAGGGCCGATGGCACCGTTCGACGTGGACGAGGACGCGGACGTGGCGGCACCGTACGAGGCGACGCGTCAGGTCGTGGTAGAGGGCGTGGAGGCGGTCCAGGTTCTCGTGGTGGTTCTACTGTCCGCAAGCCCCGCGTAACTAAGGCTGATCGTGCACAAATGGAACAGGAGAAGGCAGCTCGAGAGTCTATGGCTAAAACCCTGACCAACATGTCTACTCACGCCGGCCAGGCTAGCGCCATGTAGCACACCGGCCTTCGCCAAACGGTCAACCCTGAGTACGGTCGGGTGTGCCACTTTGGCTATCATTCGCATCAGGAACCCCAGCATGGGCTTCCATTTGGTGTTCGGTTTCCTGTATTGTTTAGTTATCTGTAAGATACCGTTGGCTAGGCAGATGGCTCAGTCGACACCGCGATAGCCACCCAGCCAGCAGGTCATCAAGTCGGAGGGCGTTCGTGTAGGCATTACTTTAGCCGGCGTTATTCTCACGACGGTTCATAGTCGTTTTCAAGACCATAGAACTATTACTCCAAAATCAGGATTCCTTTCTATTGCTGTTTGTTAGGTTCTCTCTGTGGGATCGTTGTCAAGAGTGATTCCGGCATAAGACATGCGCGGCCAGAAATTTAAAGCTCTAGCCGCATCTTGGGCGCCGCACTCTCTCAGTGAGGGCTCGCTGCGTTTGTTTGACCTTAAGCGGTGAGTGCGGCTCCTGCCTTCTGTCCAGCTGCTCTTACCTCAAGCACTTCTAGGTCACGCTCGCGTATACCATCTTGCACACCACGCTCACATAAGTTACTACCTCCCCGTTCATGGTCCCAATCAGCTCCGGTATCTCATCTTTATTGCACAACTGTTACTCAGTCTATACATAGAAGGCATTCCGCTCAATACAACAGGTGATCAGTAAAGTATCATGGTCGGTCTGGCAGCTTACTACACTCCTCTACCCGTCGACGTAGCCCTCAGCGAGCACTCACGCAAGTTCTACGATGGAACGTACAAATGGGATTCAGAAGGCTTCACCGATGACGCCGGAGGTAAGTGCGATGTACAATCCCGCGAATAATTCCACGACTGACCCATCCAGTCTATCGCGAATTCGACTGCTACGACCCTAATGCTCGTGCTCCCACACCCTTGCCACCGCTGTGCTTGAGCGACGACGATGAAGAGGCCGGTACTGTGGAAGAGAAGATCCAAGATGGAGAACACGAAACCGAGAGAATGGAAGAGGACTCCGAAATCTTCACGTTCGCATCAAATGTCAAGAGCGCAGGTGGCGTTATCACTCTACGACGTGATGAGCTATTTCGTGATCATGCTGATAGAGAGTATCTCATTGGAAAAATGGAGAGTGCGTTGATCGAAAGCAGGTATGTACCATACTAAAGCACATCAAACGCCCCATCCACGCAGCTAGGAGCCTACATGAGGGACTATACTCCACTGTCGCGTCTTTTGACACGCTCCTAGGCTTCAATCAGTGTCAACGCAAATAAGCTAACTTGAACAATAGATCAAAGAAGGTACACTTGACTCTGGAAGAGTGCTGCCGCGCGTGCGGTATACCCGAACACCTCAATCCCGTTGAAAAGTCGCCAACAAAACTGAAGATCAAATTCGTCACGCCTTTGAAACCAACCAAACCGGACCCACGCATGTTCTTCTCACCTTCGGAGTTGTCGGACTGTCCTTCGGACATATCAGAGTGGGATGTCGGCAAACCCGTAAGTAGACAAGAGGCTTTCTGGGCCGAGACCCTCTATCATTACATGTCACTGGAACCGGGACTGACATAAGCTACAGGTGTTAAAGGCGAGAACTTTTGCGAACCTAGTTATCGACGAAAAGCTCGAACAAGGCACCGATGAGGAATCACCACAGAAGCCTACAACCCGCGGCGTCGCACAGAAAGTCAAGAGACAGAAGTCGGCGGCCAGGCCAATCAAGGCGTCGCCTACGATTGAGTCATTACAAACTGGCAGTTATATAAGAGGTACTGGGGAGGCATCAAGGCGTCGGTCTACGAGACTTAGTAGCTCTCAAGGTGGCAAGTAGACATCTGTCTTGACTTGAGGTGTTTGGCGATATTTTCGGTCATGAGGAGGTTTCCATCTTTCATGATGTCCTCTGAGACGATGTCAGGCCCAGAAGAAAGGGAAAGTGTTTAAGCGCTATTGGGGAGCATCTTGATTGGCGGTGGAAAAAGAGCGAGATTGCGATATGATACCCCAATGACAACAGTCCCATCTATGTCCACCAAGCCCGTCACCTTCCCAAAAAGACATCCCCACACCTCTCCGTCTCAGCATGTTCATGATAGAGCGCACACCTCGCACCCCTCCAAGGCTTACAAGCCTCCCACTTCTTCACCTTCTTCCCACCCTTCTCTTCTCCATTAGTCCCCTCCTCTTCCACAACCTCAAATCTCCCAACTTCCCACCGCGCCATCGCAACACCTCCCTGAACACAAGCCGTACAAAACGCCACACAGCAATCGTCACAAGCCACCGCTCCACACCTAGGCAGTAGTACAACTCCACAGTAGTCACATCCGCGAGTCGTGTGCCAGGACATGGGACACCACATACGCAACCTATGCCGCTGCATAGCCTGTGTACACGGTCTTTTCAGATGCACAGTCAGATCGCGGAGGAACTCTGCATGCCACAGCCCCGCATGCAATTCCAGCAATCGATCTGTCTTTTTGAAAGCAAAGAGATCTAGCACGAGCGTACGGATAGGCGCCGATTCGCGGATGTCTTCGTATAGGATACGTGTATCGGAGGGTGTTAGCACGCTGTTCGTTTCGTCGGCAAGGTCGCTTATCGTGTCTATGATGGCGTTTCTCGCGCCTTCGAGTCCTAGTCGGTCGGCTAGGGCGTAGACGTGTAGGAGAGTGTAGTATGCTGGTTTTCGGTCTTTGTAGGGGATTGGTACTGCTTGCTCGTAGAGCCAGGTGACGAGGAGTTGGAAGTCGTCGACTGCGACATCGTCGAGTGTTATGCTGTTGTTGCTAGATTCTGCAAAATGTCCGGTGAGCGCGGCGCGGAAGTAAGAGGACTTCGATGTGAGGAGACTGGTTTGAATCTGAAACGGTGTGAGTTGAGGGCCGACGAGGATTGTGCTGGTAGTCGTGAAGTCGGAAACGTTCGCTCTGGTCAGGTACGAACTTGAGTTGCCTCGTTGTGTAGGCCGACTGCCTCTGAATGTGTATGGCGGTGGAAGGTTTGGAAATGGAATGCGACTGGGGTCGTTACCAACACTGCGTGGGCTGGTATTGCGCGTCATGGCTTATGAGTCAGTCGTGCCAGACCCTACTCCCTTGCAAGATTATCGATCGTGGTCCGTCAAACGCGCAAGCTAGTATCGATCGACACTCTGTTCGAAGTTGGAGAAATGCAGCGGAGATTTAGTATGAACAGTAGTATCCTCGAGCGTTGAAGAGGGGGATACAGTCATCACAGGCAGACCGTCATTCAGAGTCACGAAACGTTGTTTCGAAATGTACCCTTGACTGCACCCACGGCAGTGACAACGAACAAACTTCTTTGCGGAACTTCATTGAGTGAACAATCACCTTGTGTGCATGCGCGGATGACGAACGGTGGCTTTGTTGTTGGCCCAGCAAACGCCGCGCCGTATGCGGGTCTTTGTCTCGACACGGACCTTTGGAATGAAACAGAACGATCAAACGACACGATAAGCCATGGGACTAGAAAAGATAATTCAGACAGTGATGAGTGGAAAAGCGCTATATGCGTTTGTTTGGCATTCGATGATACCTAAGTCGTGGTTCTCGTAGATTAAGGACCGAGACACCCCATATGAGGTTGGTGCCTCGAGCTGCCTAGTACTCCGATCGTCCCTTTCGCGATCTGATGATTGCTTGCAAGATAGTATTGCACGTGTCAGAGAACGATGTATGAGGGACAATCTCACCAACTATTTTACACTTCCGCTAACGCCCCGAGTAGCTCAACTATTGAGATGCGTTATATGTTTATACATGAGAGACTTTTATTACTTCGTGAAAGCACCGACAACGCGTCGTTTTGTATTGTCTGAGTCGGGTTTCAGACGTTGACGATGCTGTTCGATTCGGTTTGGGCTTAGGCAACGAAGTTCTTGATGTCTGGTGGTCTGTTAGCTCCTGACACTGAAACTGAGAAATATAAGCGCAACTTACTGTTGAGCCACTGAATGTACTCCTTCTGCTCCTTGTGGTCAATGTAGTCGGGGATGAACAGGGCAAGGCGGGTATTGATGCCACGCTCCTCAAGGTACTTCTCAAGGAGGATCTGGAGGTCCTCGTCTAGGTTGTTGAAAGGAGGGCCCTTTTAGAAGTTAGATTTGTTACGATTTACATGCAGCCTTTGCACTTACAGTGTAGAGAGCGCGTCTTGACCAGTCCTTCTCGGCAGTGGCGGGGTCAGCCAGATCAGCGGTAGGGAAGTAGTAGAGGTCCTCGATCAGGAAGTCGCCGTCCTGAGCGGTGGCCTCGATAGCGAGAGCACCCTTGCCGGGACGCTCGATGCGAATGCTAGCGTGAGCGGGGAAGCCCTGCTGTTGGCCATCATCCTCGTAGTCGTCCTCAAGTTCCTCGCGATCAGCGGGAGAAACACGGTCCTCGGGAGCTACGCGAATGTTTCCGTCTTGTGTGGTGCCTTGGTTGATGGCGCCCTTGGTGTTGGCGCCGCCAGACTGCACATCCATGTCGGCATCGTCGTACATGGCATTGTCCTCAGTAAGCTCATCGCTGGGCTGGTTGTTGTTGAGGTCGGCGGTGGTGAAGGTGATTCGGATCTTCTCGTCGTTGTATGTGCGGGTAAGGACGACTTCCTGGTTGCCTGCCTTGTCTTCAATCTAATGGCTGTAAGCATTCGGCCAGTAGCAATGGTTATGCAGGGTCTTACCTCGAAAGGGCTGTTCTCAAGGTACTCCTTGATGTTGGCAGAGAGATCCTCGTCCTCCTTCATGCCCTCCTCCATGGAGATCTCGCTCTGAATCTTTGCGACGAGCTCCTCGTTGACTAAATCGCGTTAGCCGTGTTCTCTCACTGCGATGTATCCTATACGTACTACCGCTGTCTTGCCTCCGCGCCGCTGACATGTGGAAAGAAGCTGTGAGGCGGGGAATTGGGGCAGCCCATGCTGGCTGGAAAGCTGACGTCTGTCGCAGCGACGACTGCGGGCGGACGGCTTTGGTGGAGAAACGAGCAGCAGACCGCGGGGCACTGCGGGCGAGGTTGCGTAGGGACATCATGGTGGACTAAGAAGATTGACTCTTGACAGTACCGTGTGACTGGATTGGAACTTCAAGATGGCGATGCGATAGATGGCTCTCGAAAGCGTAACTTTTCGATGGCCCAAGCGCAAGCGGGCTGATGTCAAGCGGGATGCTTGGCGCCGAAATGCGGGCCCGTTGCTCACCTCCGTCCTCGGCCGTCTTGATGGGTTCAATAATTTGTGAACCTTGGGAAATCTAGTTCACATTGGCGCGTCGGAGATTCCCCCAACTCTGGTTCCTGTTGTTTTTCAAAGAATCTACATCGGTTTGAGTGCAAAACCAATACTACGTCACTGCGCCGAATTCCTATTACCGCACGCGACGTAGACACGCCAAAACTTTCCCGCGTAATTGCTGCGCGTACAAACCTACTCCTATCACCACCGGAGCCTGCTCGACTTGAAACGTCATGGCGACCGCAACGACCGAGAAGAAAAAGCCAAGCGCAATGCGCTCAATCCTGGCAGGTGCAACTGCAGGTGCCGTAGAGATTTGTAAAGCATGCGCCCGGGTCGTAATCTGATTCATGACTGACCCTGGACCAGCAATCACATACCCCGCTGAGTGTACGCACCGCATCGTATCCACTTACATGACCATGTCGAACCTGACCCCAACATAGTCGCAAAGACACGATCCCAACTCAACCGGAGATTACCTGATGGAAAGAAGCTGCCATGGCCGCCGTTCGGCAAGCAGTGGTACGCTGGATGCACAACCTTGATCATCGGCAACTCTCTGAAGGCGGGCATAAGTACGTCGTGGAAATAACGGGAAGGCGACTGTCTGACACTTCACGCAGGATTTGTCGCATTCGACATGTACAGGAATATGCTGGCAGACGCTGAAGGCAAAGTCTCCGGCCCAGCGACGGTCATAGCTGGTTTCGGTGCAGGAGCTACAGAGTCGCTATTAGCTGTGACTCCATTCGAGAGTATCAAAACCCAACTGTAAGCAGCCTTGGTCGCATTCATGTACCTTCACTGACTCATCCGCCTAGTATTGACGACCGCAAGTCGGCAAACCCACGCATGCGAGGCTTCCTGCACGGATCGAGGATAATCGCGCAAGAAAAGGGGATTCGCGGCTTCTTCCAAGGTTTCCTCCCAACGACTGCACGTCAAGCAGCCAACTCGGCCGTTCGCTTCTCCAGTTACACATCGCTCAAGCAGCTAGCGCAGTCATACGTCACTCCAGGAGAGAAGCTCGGTGCCTTCAGCACATTCGGACTCGGAGGACTCGCAGGCATAATAACCGTCTACACTACGATGCCTATCGACACAGTCAAGACACGCATGCAGTCAATAGAAGCACGGAGCTCATACAAGAACAGCTTCGACTGTGTAGCCAAGATCTTCAGAGATGAGGGGCTCTTCACCTTCTGGTCAGGAGCACTTCCAAGGTTGGGTCGGCTGATCCTCAGTGGTGGCATCGTCTTCACCATGTACGAAAAGTCCATGGAGCTCATGGACAAGTTTGATCCCCAGGGACGTTACATATAAATTATGCGCATATATCTAGAGCCAGTAGCGAGTGCATTATGCATTCGCCTGGTGTTCTACCTCCATTTGCGACTGCGTCACACTATTGGTCTGGATCTCATTGGCTTGTCTGCATTCCTCGCTTCCCCTCCTCCAGATTGCCCAAGCGCCACCACTTCAGGACATGTAATGCATTCAAATGATAATATAGGTTCTAACACAACATGAGCTGGCCTTCCCTGGTGAGAACGATTCAGAGGATCTTTTCCATAACGGGCTTCTGTCACTTGCATATCGACTGCCATAATCCAATGGAATGTGGAGCAAGGCTGAATCGATAGAGCTGGGACTTCTGCCTCAGCAATTATTGGGTTTCGTGGCACCTTGTTTCGTTGAGATATGCAGGAAGTTCACCGGTTTCTGCAAAGGCTAGCACAGCTTACACGACGGTATATTTTGTCGAACCACATTACAGAAGGGACACTCAGGCAATACTAGGTGCAGCCTGCCGATCGGAAAGCACAATCTGCTGCCTTCTTTATAAGTCTTTCATGGCCTGCACCTACTCGCCTCTTCTTTTTCGGTATCGTCGTGTCCAGAATCATTAAACAATCACTCTCTGTCTGATATAAATGTACAGCATTCCTTGAATATTACAACAACCACATACAGTACCAACAAATTACGATCATGCCTCCAGTCGTATTCATATCAACTCCAGAAGAGCTCTCTGTCGTGCTAGCAACGTTCGACGACCTGCCAGTATCCCCACCAAGTCTGTACATCGATCTGGAAGGCGCGAAGCTCAGCAGGAATGGTTCGATCGCACTACTAACCCTGTATGTCCTCCCCAAGGAGACTGTGTATCTCATCGACATCCATACTCTAGGCGCTCGCGCATTCTCAACACCTGCCATCGCAGCAACAGCAAGCGTGACTGCGCCTCTTGATACTACGCCCAGCACAACAAACCTCACTGAAGACGCTGGAAAGCCTTCCACAACCCTGAAGTCTATCTTGGAATCACCAGCAATTCCCAAAGTCTTCTTCGATGTACGCAACGACTCCGACGCCCTCTTCTCCCACTACGCCATCTCCCTCTCCTGCATCCACGACATCCAACTCATGGAGCTAGCAACTACTACACGCGGTTCCCGTGAACACCTCCTGGGCTTGGGCAAAGCCATCGACTACAACGCCTCACGCCTCAACATAACGCCGATGCAGAGGCAAGTCTGCAGCGCCATCAAAGAGGCTGGTGTCAGGCTCTTCGCTCCGGAACGAGGTGGCAGGTATGCGGTCTTTGAAGAGAGGCCGCTGAGTCAAGCAATAAAGGATTACTGTGTGCAGGATGTGGTTCATATGCCTGGGCTATGGAAGCTATACGGAAGCAGGATGGCAGAAGGGGGCTTTTGGTGGATCATGGCTTTGGAGGGTGCAGCAAGTAGGGTGGGTGAGAGTCATCAGGCGGGATATCTACCACACGGAGATCACAAGAGGTACGGACCTTGGACTGATACACAGATCAAAGAGGCGATGCGGCGCTGGAATTCTGGGCAGCGGAGCAATTTGTGTGGATGAGTGATGGATTTGAGACTGAGTGACGGTGGAAGGTTGGGGACTCAGTCAAACGATGGTTTGTAGATGCATCGTACTTGTTTGGCTGTAGATGAATGAGCAAACAAGAGCAAATACAAGAGCTCTGTCATGGATTTCTTCTGTTTTCGAGGTGACTTACGATACACACGTTGGTACAGCGATAATGTCTATCTCCGACATTCACCTTCACTTTGGTCACTCGCCTTCGCGAACGCTCACCACTACGATTTCAACTCCAAGACCAAGCCAACAGACACAACCTCAATCTCCTCTAATAAATCCAACACAAGATTCAACAGACAAGACAATGTCAACACACGCCGCACAACTGCTCGAGCAGCGACTGTTTACTGCCATCAAGACACAAATCATCAGTCTTGCAACGCCTCTTTACGGCACAAGATCAGAAGACGCATCAAAGGTCTACGATGTAGTCACCTACAGCATGATCTCCAATGATGGTGGCAGTAGCAACGATAGCAGAAGCACCTTCAACACTGCTAGCAACAGTAGCGACAACGATGGTGAAGAGAGAAGAGGGCCGACCTACGGCGTGGCTTTGATTCTCTACACTGGCCCTTCAAGTTCGCCATTCACATCATGGACACTGATCAGCCATGTGGAGGATCAGCCCGACATCATCACTGGAGCAAATTGTCTGTTGGAAGACTTAAGGAAGGGGATGGGTGGAGTTATCAGTAAGTTCATGTTACTTCTTTCCTTTCTGCTACTTTGTCTTCGCGTCTCAATTTTGGATCTTATCGTTAGAGCAAGGAAAATGAAGGTATGGTAGACTGATGGCATGGTCGGGAATAGGTGTCTGCATGCAGACAGGTAACTGGAAGACGAAATATGAAAGCATTCCCAACATTGCGGGTCTAAGCGAAGGAGGGCAGGAGGGTGAGGAGGAAGTTGAGCATGAGCATGGGGGTGACGTAGGGGACAACAGGCGTGGCGCTGAAGGTGGCGGCGGCAGAACGGACGATGCTAGCGAAAACCTAGCGCAGACCGGCTGGAGTCCAAGGTTGTCGTCCATCACCGAAGAGTTCTAGACATGTAACGTGTCAACGCGATTGGGGGTTGAGTTGGGGAGGTTTGGGGACTACAGCATGTTTTGAGGTCTTTTGTATGTTAGCATAAGGCAGCGTGATAAGTCTTCGTGTACTTTCCATCAAGCGAATCAACCCAGAATCCTCCCATGTAATCATCATATGTCTTTTCACGTCTTAGTACACACACCTGTGTCTCTACGTAGGTATCAAAGGTATTCATATTTCCTCACGATCCGTGATCATCATGTCATGAACTTCATTCACAAGCAAATCACTTCAGTTGGAGCAAGGCAAGAAATGTATTGAGAACACGAAAAGGACGCGAATATCACATTGGAACACTACCTAAAGATACGTAAAGATCAAATCGTGTACGGTTTCATCTGCCAGTGCCAATCGGACTCATCAGACTGTTACCACTACCACTAGTAGGACTCCGCACCATCATCGGCTTAATACTCTGGACTGGGCTCAATGGGTCTCGTTGGCTCGAACTCTGACTGGAGGTTCCTGAGCTGAGGCTGCCACTACCGTGACTGCGATTGCGGCCATTGATCGGACCTGGAGTGCTGAAGGGGTTACCGAGGACATAAGTGCCTGAAGACGCGGGCTCGTCGAAAGCGTCGGTGAATCCGGATACGTTAGAGAGCATCGACGAGGAACGACCGCGACCTCCACGCATGGAACCGGGAGTGCCGTTCATGTGCGAGTGCATTGACGGGAACGTGAAGCTGGAGAAACCATTGCCGTGAGGCGACATGTTCGTGCCTGGGAGATTGCCTTCTGGTGTGGTGGGAACAGACATGTGCTGGTGCGCTTGCTGGAGGAGGAGCTCTTCGTACTGCTGAACAGTCTGCAGGATTTGGCTGGTTGACATGTTCTGCTCCTCAGTGCGTCTTTCGTAACCATTGATGTTGCTCCGATACTGGTGCTCGACTTCAGCGCGCTGTGCTCGTAATGCTGCGCGTTCTTGCTCCCTTCGTTGCTTGGCGGTGAAACCTTCAGCGTTGGCAGTAACGAGACGATCGTGCTGCTCGTTGAGCCTGGTTTGACGCTGCTGAAGGCGCTCCCTCTTCTGGAAGGCAGTAGAAATATCGGACTCCACACTTTGCACTTGTCGCTCGATCTCCTCCTTGGTCTTGTCGAATTCACAAGCAACAGCATTCTTGTTGTCACGCTCCTTCTTCCACTCTGCCTTCTTGGCTGCAGCCTCCTTCGCCTCATCTTCGGGAATGCTTCCCAGATTTTCTGCTTGAAGGGAAAACTCGGCGGCAGCATCGTCAGCTTGGCGGATGTTCTGCGTGAATTGAAGGACGCGCTGGCGTTGGCGCTCATCACTACCTCCGGCGTTGGCAAGGCGGTTGCCGAGCGTGTCTACCTCTTTCTTGATGTTGGTAATGGCTGTCTTGTGGTCTTTCTTGTTTCGCTTCAATCGATTGCGCTGTTCCTGTAGTTGCTGGTCGGCTGCGGCAATAGAGTTCTTCAACGTGGTTGTTGGCGAAGAAGGTCGTAGGGTCTGATGGGCTGGCGGGGAGGCAATAGAAGCTGAAGCTGTCACGCATTAGCAAGGTAAGGCTACACAAGAGGTTCTGCTTACCAAGTTCGGTTACCGGGCTGGCCGAGGTAATAAGACTCGCTGAGTAGAAGACTTGGTTGTCGTTGGTCCGAACAAACTCGCAATAATAGTTCGAGAGAGCCGTTAGACCAAATATTTCTCCTACCCAGTAGCCCGTTCCCTCTTGTCCCTGGAATCCGATCGGCTCGCTCTGTCGGATGCGGGTTGAGCTCCAGTCCGCGCCGTTGACGCGGATGTAGAAGGGCTTCGACTTGTCTATCCCAGACCCGACGCTGGAATCTTCGTCGTCCTGCTCTTGAAGGCCAGCTCCACCAGATAAACTAACACGAAATGAAATGTCGGAAAAGCCGACTTCTGAAATCCAAACACGATCGTCCTCCGATCTCCAAACAGCGTTTCCAATGTGATTTGCGTCTTTTGCGTTAGCCTCGTCGGCATCGTTGGCCGCCCGGCTACTCTCCATCTCTTTTAAAACTGTAACTTTTGTACTGGCAAGTGCAGCCCAGAATGGCTGCTGACTACGAACATGAGTAGCTTGCTTCCTCTTCCTCCTCCCACTACTCGCTTTATCCTTGATTGCGTGTGCTGCAGGCGACGGCCCCGGGGGGCGGCCATCGGTGCTCGAGGAGTTGGGCACGTCGGCAGTGGGATCGAGGTTCGTGGAGTTGGAGCGTTGCAGCGTGCCAGACTCTGGATCTGTCTTCTTGCCGGTGGGTAAGGTTGATTGTTCTCGTCGAGAGAGAGAGCGTCGGATGATACGAACGACACCTTGGGCCAAAATATGAATGCCCAGGAGGCTACGAGGCCATCCATGGGGGGTCGAGAAGCTTTCCAAATAGGTCGGCGTACTCGGGGGGCTCGTCAAGAATTCAAGGCCTCCCCGGGCGAGCCCCGTCCACAGGAAGTGGACGATGTGTTGCCGGAGAGGCCTGAATCTGAAGACGTGGCTCGAAAGAATGATGACGAAGCATATGACAATGCTGTTGGTCGTGCCCTTCTTGCCGGCTGCGGCACCGCCGAGCGCTATGGCTATAACGGCCTGTGCGAGGTCGAGGAAGAAATTCTGGGCAGGCACCCACAGCAGCAGCCATACGAGCAGGATGACGGTGTCGGCGATGATTGTGGTGAAGAGCGAGGGCGTGCCGCCGGAGCCCTGGAAGATGTCGGTGAAGGAGGGGAAGGCGGAGAGGGCGGAGAGGGGCGTGCCGGCCTGGGGCGGGACAAAAGTAAGCGTTGCGAACAGGAACTGGACGACGGTGAGGACGGTGGGGGGCAGCTGGAGCAGGATGATGAGGATGGCGAGGACGTCCCGCAGCGGACAGGACGTGAGAATGGTGGCGGGCACGGCGAGCATGCTGGCCATGGAGATAGACGCCGACTTGGAGGCATTGGTGTCGGCGCGGCGGAGAGTCGAGGGCATGGGATCAAAGGGCCCGCCGGCGCTGCCATTGTCGTACGAGCGGCAGGCCTCGGGGGTGTTGTCGAGCGAGGCATCCGAGCCAGCGCGCGTGCGGTGCCCTGATCCCGCCGACGCAGCAGCGGCCATGGTGTTGGCGTGGGCGCTCGACCCCGGAGCTGGATCGTGGGCGCTGGCGTGCTGCGTCATCTCGGTCGTGTCTACATGGCTGGGCAGCGGCGGCGAGGGCTCGCTGGGCTTCCCGTTGGCGTGGCCATTGAGCTGCGGGATGCTCTTCTGCTTTGTGATTTTCTTGCCGGGGGCCGCAAGGCCATTCTCGTGTCGCTTGTCGTGCGCCGCGTTCCTCTTCGACTTCGCTACCATAGACGGCGGTGCGGGTGCGAGCGGGCAAACCTCTCCCTGGCGCGACTCGACTGCTGCACAGGACGAGCCAGGACTGGAAGATGTTGAGCCGCTGCTCGGTGGGGGAGTCTGGGGGGGTGTCGTGTGCTGGGCAAGACGTGTAGGGAGCGAGGAAGGTGCCCTGCGCCTGCTCAGTCGTGCCTTCCGCCGGATGGGCTCGTGCCAAGACTTGCAAGTGCTAAACGTCAAATGCAAAGTCAACCAAGAAAACCCGACCGCCCAAGCCTCCAGCGAGTGGGCCACGCTGTGACCAGAGCACTGACAAGCCACGATGCACCTGACGGCTGATTTGCCTGTCGACTCCGAGGTTCCACGTCTCCAGCGCTGCCGACCCGTGGTTCACCACGACCGCCCTGCACATGCAACCACGACGCCCTCGACACGCTGCCTATCCGCGGCAAAATTCCATGTGTCCGGCTTGTACCGCCATCATCACAACCACGCGGGCAGCATATCTTGATGCTGCTGCCACGCAGATCAGCCGAGCTGTGTCCGATTCCAGTTCATGATGCCGATCTTGACCACGACAACAAGGCCGTCATTTCACTCTACCGGGGAAGCCAAGTATCGCCCGTCCCTCTCCGGCAGTGATCTTGCCTGTCTGGCACCTCATCTTGCCCTCCTCTACATAGTCCCCCCGTCTGCTGCCTCTGCCATATCGCACAGCTGCATCGCCAGACAAACACGTCTTCCAAGGCAGCCAATTAGCCTGCGCCGGCTTCTTTAGCTTACCTGCTCATTTGCGTGCACCAGGACCCCCCTGAGCCATAGCAAGCTCCAGGGCGAATGAACCCGCGCTTTGTCTGTTCACCGCATGCCTGAAGTCTCTGCAGCGGGCAAACCCCGCCGACGCTATTACTCACGCCGCCGTCACCCATTGTCTGCTTCCTAGGTACGCGGATAGAGCGTGCCTGCCCCTTCGATGCATGAATCTTTACAGTGGCTGCACAGCAATGCTCATGCGACGTGTTACGCCACACCTTACTGAGCATTGCTATACCGGGTCAAGCGGTGCACTGTCAGCATCCCAAATTGTTCGGAGCATTTTTATCTATCTGTGTTCCCTCGAGGCGAGCATAGCGCGCAAGCCTTCCGCCTGCACATCCATGACCCTCTTCCGCCCTCTGCAGTGTGCCGGCGTGAAGCTTAACCCAACCACGCCAATAGCAGCCCGTTCGACTTGCAAATAAGGCAAGCCGGAACATCACGCGCGCAACGGGCGTGCAGATCGCTGCAATAGGCATCAGAACATCCCACTTCATGTACATCATTGTGATGAGAATCACGCCATGCAGTGGGTTCATGCGGCAGTTTGCTATTTTCCCATCGCTTGCATCTATACAACTGGTTTGACTGCCATGCGCCGACCTCGGACACGCGATCAACCCCGCGTGCTGTCTGTCCATGCCGCTGCAGGGGTATATGATGACGGATATGACGATACCTATGTAACACCGCTAGTAAATCCTACTCTACCGCCGCTACAGACATGACTATTTGTTAGTCTTGTTCAAAGACGTCGCACTAGCGAAGCTTTCACGGGACAGGAGGAACCAGAAATCAAGGCACCGTTTGCGAATGCGAACCGCAGATATCAAGGGTCTGATGAGGCGTTTTCTCGCAAGTATCACCATGTTCTACGGAGCCGCGCTACCAAAGTCTTCTTTAGCATCCGGTCTATCCCAGCTACCCTTCTCTAATTCCCTAACTCGATCCAATAGCCCTCTGACCCTAATGCTGTTCTTGTCTTTCGCTTGTTCCTGTAGGTTGAATGTATCTTGGAACTTCTGGATCATAAAAGACGGCAGTGGGGACTTCTTCGCTGTTCGATAGTCGTACACGACAATGTCTTCGGTGCATCGCGCTGCTGGTCGACGCTGGGCCTCTGAGAGGATTAGTACGTCCAAGATGAAGTGATCGGTGTCTTGTGTCGGTTTGTCTCGAAGCTTGTGCAGTACGGTCACCCTGATAATGTATGTGTTAAAACATTGAGCCCTGCATCTTGTAGTTTGCGTTCGTGGTCGCACCTATCAGGCCATTTCATGGGCTAGTTCTCCGTCAGTGACGTTTCAAGAATTCGGCCAGCCTCCAGCTGGACCAGTAGCGCGCGCAACTTACAAACTTGTAGTCTGTTTTGATGCTTCGCAGTATCAAGCCAACGCTCTTCGGTGTCATGAGCTCCATCCACTCGGCTTTGTGTTGTGGGTCGCTCGCCGCAAAGTTCAGCGTCCAGTTAACTCTCGCCGACTCAGCATACCGATTGTACATGACGTTGTTGACATGACCTATCAGAGATTAGAATTAGATATCCAAGGCCCAGGTAGGGAAGTAAGTACCCTTCACATCCGTCAGCAGTTATCAGTATACACGTATTGGGGTCATCCTACCATGCTGTCCTGCACACGATCGCTCACATCAGCAATTGTACACAACTTCGTTAGACAGGATCCTAACCATTTCACCCCATACCACCTCTTGCCGGTAGAGACCCCGCCATTGCCTGCCTGTAAGAAAACCCTCGCTACCAGCTACAAGTTCTCGCCCTGTAAGACACATAAGAAGTTGGTTCTGCGTCATGACATGAACCACCTTTGTCATAACTCACAGTCTGCTGCAGTCTCCTGTAATATCAAACCAGCTTCCTCAATCTGTGCAGGGTTCATTCCAAAACTAATACACTTGCCGATGCGTGTTCGAACGTCCGAGAGCCATCTTGGGCTGAGCGCTGCAGTTGCCGGTGCTTCTGTGTCAGATGTGGGTCAGCTATTGGTATTCCGTGATGCTCCAGCTCTTCCCCTTATAAAGTACAATGATAGCTGTTTGGACAACTGTATAGTGACTGGCTTGAGATACTTTACAAGGTACAACGTGCCCATCAATCGATCACATAGATCCGTGCTGCGCGCACTAACAGCATCAAAGAATCGACACCCAATTTACGTACCGCTTGAAGTAGACTGATACAGCGTGCGAGAAACTCCCTGCACAACCGGAAGAGCTGGCCATGCAGGTCTAGAACGAAAAAGCGCTGAGCGCACCAAGGGTCGCATGGTATTCATTATTGTGAAATACGGAGTCCAATGGGAAGACAGCGCGGTGGTGTTCACGAACGATTGCAGCAAGAGCTAGGGCGTTCCTTCCGAGGATACGGAAGATAAGCCGAGGATCCGCTACCTCCACATCCAATTCCATCCACAAGTCCGCCAGCCGCTACGTCAGGACGCGGGCCCGAGCGTTTGCTACAACTACTCCGCACCCTGCTCGTACACACGCAATTGACGTTTGACAGCTTTCTAGCATCGACTTCTTTGGATCCATACATCGTTTGCTTCATCATTGAAAAATGACATCCCCGAATCCCGCGCTTCGCCACCAGGTCATCCGGATCTACAAGGGTACGTAGCATGGTCTTTTCCCTCGGCTCGTAGCAAACTCCATGGGCTAACGAAATGAATAGATTTGCTTTTCATGGGCCGGGAATATCCCCAGGGCTACGATTACTTTAGGACACGCCTACACAAGGCATTTGCGAGCCAAAAGAATCTGACGGACGAGGCCAAGATTAAGCAGGGCATCGAGAGGGCGGAGTACGTGAAGAAAGGTAAGTCACGCCATACCAGGCATCCAATGTATCATGCTAACATCTTATAGAGATTGAAGCACTGTTCGTTTGCAGCAGCTGAAAAAGCAAAATCGAAAGAATTCCTAACTATATCCAGATACTATCTAAAGCGCTATCGCACTTTGCGCCAGCGCTACGACAAACTCGCCTAGCTGGTATAATACGATAACTGACATTTCGCCGACCATGGCCTTGCGTAGACCGGGATATCACAAATAACAAGGTACGCCACTTGAACTTTACGCCTTCTTGGCCCACCATATGCCGAGCTCGAGACACTCACCGCTCGAGGCACCTTTCTGCTCAAGCAGGTCGTTGATCATGGAGTTCCAATAACGCTGCCATTCCTCTTGGTTCTTTCCGCTGACTTCTTTGAGTAGAGGCTCGAGACTTTCAATCAACTGTATGACGACAAGCAATGCCGTGTGTCTTAGCGCTGCCTGCTCCTTGGTCAGAATGGAGCTCTCCAGGGCTGCGCTTCCCTTCTTGAGTTTCCCCGCCTCGCTTCCACGTCGCTTTATCGTCTCGCCCGCAGCTTCGCGCTCCCACCGTGGTTCACCGAGAAGAATCGCTACCCGCCGGTTTTCCACCTCGCATAGAGTGTCCGGCTCTTGTAGCAGGATTTGCGATATACGAGAGCAAGGGGTTGCCGTGAGCTTGCGTCGGTCCAGCGCTTCTTGGATCCACGAGTTGGAGTCTTGGAGAAATTTGTTCTGCACATCGGTAAAGGGCGTGGTGTGCGAAATGAGGAACGTCCCGGTCGATACAGCGCAAGCGTACTCTTGGGGATTCTTGCCTGGTGGAGGTGGAGGATGCGGCAGGATCGATCGGATAATGTGGTCTGTGTCCCATATTTCCAACGTGCCCCCAGACTTTAGGATCCGAGTGCATTCATCGAGTGTCCTCTGCGAGGGCTGCCCATCAGGTATCACCATACTCAGGTCCTTCATCACGACGACATCGAACTCCTCATCGTCGAACGGCAGTGGTAACTTGCGCAGATCATGCTGCACGAACTTCCAGTCGATGCCCTGGCGCTGCAAATCTCCTGCGAGATTGACAATGTCTAGACCAGTAAAGGAAACATCATCGTAGCCCTGTTCTGGTTACGGTCAGCCCGGAACCGTACAGAAGGTGCGGGGTATACCTACCACTCAGCCATTCATGGCACACAGCCGACCAGTATCCGGAGCCACACGCAACCTCGAGCACTTTCTTTGGTGGGTATGAGGGGGTGGAGCCCATGGCTTTGCCGAAGACAGCTGTCGCAAGGAGGGTATGTAGGTTCTGGCGGTGGAGCTCGGGCAGGTCGCACGGGAGGGGATAGCTCTGGGCGCTTCGAATGTATCGGCGGCCATGGCGCAGAATGAAGGGTTCGTTAGAGGGGACGCCCGTGTCGTCTCTGGTACTCTGGGTGGAGCTGCTGGACATGGAGCCGCGCGTTATGTCCATGTTGTGGCCTGAGAGGGTGCGCGCGCCTGTTGAGGCAGAAGTCGAAGACGCAGAGATGGTTCTACCGAGAGCGTCCGTGGTGGTCAGATCCCATTGCTTTGCTTCGACGGTCTTGGGGCGTATGGGAGGGCTGGCGGTGGCGTTGGCGCCGTAGTAGCGATACTGGGGAGGGGATTAGCCAGAGAGGTTCACACGTAGAGCAAGCACAGTGTTCTTGCCAACTGCCAATCGCCCATGGAGACGACCTGGAAACGTGCTCGAGGTTGTCCAGTCTACTCCTACCCTAGCCCCACTGTTTTAGCGGGAACGCGATATTGGGCCGGTCTTTAGTCGTCTGATAAGCACGTGTAGGCGAGTCAGCAATTAATGAGCGGGACGGCGGAGCGGATGCGACAAGGAAGCAAAGCTCGACTGGAGAGAGATCAGATCAGAGGATGGTGCCAGCACGCCATGTATGTGAATGCAAGTTTCGGCACAGCTCCGGGTGTGGGAGGCAGCTCAGGTGAGGAGCTGCGAGGCCAGCCGAGGACACATCTCCAATCAACGGCTGCGGCTGTGTGAATCCCCAGGCTCTCTATGGCGATACATCGCTGGGCAGTGCGAGCGCCGCGAACGAGCAGCTTCTGGCGATGTGGCGCCCGTCTGCAGGAGCGCGGCATGAGCCGAAGACGTGCTGCAGGTGATATTCCAGCGTGGGGAAAGCCCGAGTCTAGCAGCGACAAGCTCACGAGGGCATGCAGTGCACGGCGGAAACGAGGATCAAGGGCGAGGGTACTGCGTAATCTGTAGCCTTTCCATGGATGAAACACATACGTGAACAAGGGCACAAGTAGAGGAGGGATAGATGCACGGCGAATGCCCGCGGAGAGTGTGTGTACCTAGGTACCATGACCAGTCCTATACACTTGTTGGATAGTTGCCATGCACGTCAAAAGGAAGAACACAAGGACTACTCTGATGAACACCCAGCCAACGCGGGCACAGGCCCAGTCGCGAGAGAACAGATGGACAGTTTCATGGCGTTCAGCTTGGATCGACGCTTCCATGTCACGTGGCCCGCTAAGCGGCGGACCCCAATGCATCGGGCAAGGTTCGACTGGGCTTCACGTATCGCATCACTACGCTCTCTATTCTTCACAGCGCTGCAGTTGGACCCGCTGACAGTCTGTCTGGCACGATTGAGCCCGATTGCCCTCCTGCGCGCCCTTTGACATCCTCAGCTGCCGTACGTGCGCCGCTTCCACACGCTTCTACTGCCCGCTCGAGCTCCCCGTCCAACCTCTTCGATTCCCCGCCGCACCCACTGACTGCTCCATACCAGTAGCCCGCCAGGATATCAATACGAGCCCGCGCCCCAGCCCTCTATCTCCAGCACGCCTCGACGCCCGCAACCCCTCCGCCCTCGCTCGCTACCGAGTCCCCGCTCCAACACCACCTTCACTCGCGAACCGCCGGGATATCAATACATGGTATACTGGTGCCGCGTTTGCTGAACGCGTGCTCATGTCGAGGAGTCGCACGGGCGCCCATGTTAAAACGAAGAAGATCGCGTGCCCGAACCCTTCCTCCTACCTGACGCCCCGACTCGCCAGAGCATCTCGCGCCTTTCACCCCCAACACAAAGGCCGCCTGCGCGACCCCAGATATCTTCCGCCGCGATTCCCTTAGATGGCCGAGTACTCGGTCTACCCCAGGGGAACCGGCAATACCTTCTATCCGCAACACACACAAAACATACGCAACCTCCCCAGCCGAGTGCGCTCACCCACGTCTACCGCCCGCATACCCTTCCCCAACCCCGACACACCCTCGCCATCACGATCTCCTGGGCGCCAGTCGTCTCCCCAGCAGTTCGGCATGTTCAACCAGGCCCATGGGCACCAGGGCCACAACGTTATGATGAACGGGCGAGCAGGGCAGCAGAACTTCATGCAGCACATGAACCTGGGGAAGCCCTTCCAACACAATCAGCACCACCAGAACCAGCACCAACATCACCAGCAGCACCAGGACATCTCCGGAAACAATCATGTCGGCCAATTCAACCACCAGCACAACATCTCGAGTGGGGGTATGTCCAACGTGCAGCCCCACTTTACGCCGGGCCATCTCCAGAACGGCACACCAAACAGCGTTCATAGTGGACTCAGCAAACCACCAACCGAACACTGGCAAGAGCAATTGAAGCTGCACC